GGTTCTGTAATCACAAGGATTGATGGGTTCCTACAGTTGGCATGGATACAACGCAGGCCAAACAGAAACAGAATTCTCTGATGTCAGAATGAGGTCACAATGTGCAGAGCATCTGTTTCTCTGCAAACCAAGTGACCGTTAACAGTCAGGCTGAGCCTTAACATGGTCAGCATGGATCTTCATGACAGAGAAAGGAAAAGGTTGGATTGGGGGGGTGGGGAGCAGAGTTAGTTTTCAGCGGATATAGCAGATAAAGCGTTGGACTACAGCTCAGGAGACCTGGGTTCAGATCCCTCCTTGGCCTTCAAAACTTTCTGGAGAATAGCAATGGTAAACCACTCCTGGAAAATCTTATCTACTTCACAAATCCTATCAGGGTCACCAGAAGTTGGAAATGCCTTGCCATAAAAGGACAATAAAATTGATCTTTTAAGAGTGGGGAAGGATTAGAAGGATTTACAGAGAAGGTTTTCCTAATATTTTCCTGCCTATTTTGTGTGCTTCACAGAGCGCATTTCCCTCAGAGCTTTTTTGGACCACATCTCCCAGAAACCTTGGGTCAGGATGGCCAGTGGCCATACCATCTGGGAATTCTGAGAAATGGAAGTAAGTTTTCCAAGCTCTAGCTCAGCCTATGAGATTGAGGAACTAGTCTAAGAAAGAAAGGAAAAAATCAACATCTTTAATTTTTATCTGATTGCAAATAGATAGTCATGAGGAATGCCAGACAACGGGAGATGCAAGTTCTTGAACACGGAGTCAGTCATTCAGGTGACCTTCAGTTTCTGCTTTCTTTCCATCTTCTGCTGTAGCAGTAATGTTTTTCTTACTTTGTTCCTGATTCACAAGTCCGGGGCTACGATGCAGAGAAAGGAAGCCAATTCAGGTGTTAAGCAGGGACAATAAATTATTTTATTTATGTGACACCTTGGCTCCCAAAGAGGGGTGTGTAGGATTCTCTGCCTCAAGCGCCCAAATAATGTGGCCTGTCCTGCATACTGTGCACCTTGACTAGTGGGAAAGGGGATGATTTGAAAGACTTCTTCAGTGCATAAACACTGAGAAATATTATTAACCCCATAGGAGGAACGAGATGATATACAGTATATGTTACCACAGCCAAGAAAGAAGGACAATGAAGAATATCTAAGGTCGTGTGGCAATCTGAAAAAGTCAAGGACTATGTGAAGAAAACCATGCTGAGAACCTCAGTAAGGAACCTACTTTCTACAATTAATGGGCAGCCATGTTAGTTTCTGAAAGGTGATGAGGGTGTGAATTGTAGATTGAGTAAAGCCATTCCTGCAAAATATTCAAGCACAGCTTTGTTTGGGAGAGGACCTCTTCACTCCAGGGTATAGAAGGAGTTGGGGTGTTAATTTCATTCCCACATCCTTTTCTCAATGGCTGAATATTTTGTTTGGACCCTTAGCTCTTTTTAAAATTGGTCGTTTTGGCAAGGAGCTGTGTCGGAGAGGACATTCTGTCTCTCACACATACCTTTCATAGGGACAATCCACAAGATACATGGCTGTGTGCCGTTTTGAATAAATCCATGGATGGTGTGAAGAAGCCCACACTAAGACCCAAAGTGAGGAACCTGCTGTAAACAACTAATGTGCAGCCATGCTAGTTTCTGAAAGGTGATGAGGGTGTAAGAAGCAGGCATCATGTCCAGAGTCAGAACTAGGACTCGAGAGACCTTGGTTCAAATCCCTGAGTGACCAGAGAAACTTCCTGGAGGTGTGGCACTGGGAAAGCCCCTCCTTCAAGAGCTCACATACCTTGAAAAATCTATTTGGCTCACTATAAGTTAGATAAGATAACACATGAAATGCACAGACTTTATAAAAAGATAAATATATTCCACAGATATCATTTAGTAATCCATAACAGAAAGAGCCATCTATTTTCACATTGCATTTCCTAATGTTCCATGACTCTGATTTCTCCAGAATTAGTTAACATAAAGCATTTCAAACTTTACCTTCTATTTGAATACAGAGGTCTTATTCCCAGCGAAACTTAACCCCTTTTGTTTTCTTTTTTTAAAAAAAAAAACTCTGTGACTGCAGTACTTA